ATATAGAATGACAATAGTAATGATGATAATTATTGTTTTCTTTCATTTAATTTAACACAAATAAAAATACAAAAAAAGTAAGGTTTTACGACCAATGCATAGTACAATACATATGAGACCTGGCTTGAATTTGTCGCCAACTCAGAACTAGAAGTACTGAACATTACACTCTACAGATGTGACACACCAGAACATCACAAAGGAATAAGAGTTGCTGTCTACATTTCTAAAAGTAGCAGAATTGAACACTTGAATAATTTTATTTCTTTACTATTTAATTCAATAATATCCACAAATCACAAAAAAAAACTGAATTACTTGGGATTTACGAATTGCTTTTTCAAAAGAGTATAAAAACTATTAAAATAATAGGGTTAGAAAACAGGTCGAGGTAGAGATTGCAGTGATATAAAATTTAAATAAATTACAAAGTGGAAAAGATAATTAAATATTTACAAGAACTCATCTTGGAGGAGATCACAAGCTCTAGAAACCAAAAAAATGTTGCTTCTGTTTCTTACAGGCTCCCAACTCTGTTAGAGATTCTGTTAACAACTTTATAGAACTTTATATCAAGCACTATCCTGATCACAGGAGTGGAGACAGTTGGGGGTGGTGTGCAGGGCCCTCCGTCGGTGAGAGTTGCTCCCCCACCCCTCCCCCCTTCCCGTTAGAGAAAAAAAACACAATTCTTCGGGGAGAAAAAATATATGTATTTTCTATACATTAGTACTCTAAAATCGATTAAATAGCCCCTTGAAACCCCTAACTTGTCAAAATTTTCTGGGGCTTCGCCGCTTGGGCCATTCTAGATATTTTGAGCGACGCCCGACCACACCCACTTTGCTCTCGTTGGGGACATGCCCCCCCCCCCGTTGGGGACCTCAGACCTAATGTCGGGCAAGTCCTGGCGCCATTCCTCTCTGATCATAATCTACTGGTATTAGGTGATTTTAACTTACCAGATATTACTTGGAACGACAATGGTACTTATTCACTACCATCTAATTTCTTCTCAGAACATTTTTATGGACTCAGTAATAAATGAACAAACTATCTCACATTGAATTAATATTTTTGCAACATGTATTAATAAACTACTTAGTTTAAATACTGTGCAATAACAACAATATTATTTCCGACATTTCTGCATGACAAAAATTCTGACCATCATTTATAATAATTGTACTTTAATCTGTAAATATTAATTACAATAATAGTAATAGATATTTTTAAAATTATCGGCGAACCAATCTTGGTGATTTGAATAATATAATCCAGAAGATCCTGTATGATATTCTTGATTTCACTAGCAATATTAATAAACATGTTGCCATGTTATATGACCTTGTTGATGCGGCTGTAAGAGACCTTGTCCCAATCAAAACTGGTAAAAGAAGCCCTTCACGGTTTGATGCCGAGCTCGTGAAAATTAAAATTTAATATAACCGTCATACATGCATAAAATGTTCATCCATTATCACAAAACAAAATGTCTACATTGCCAGAACTAACTTTAAAAACAATATTAAATCAAATAAAAAAATTACCTTAAATGCATTTCCTCCGATCTTGCAACAATTGGATAGACTTAGCAAGTGAGACTAACGGTGTAAAGATACAAGATGAAATTTATTATCTCCAGTTTAAATAAACGAAGAAATTACAAAGCTCGCAAAAACAACAATTCCAAGAAAATCACATTAAAAGTCAAGGAAATAAAAAGAATCAACATCAAAATTCCATCAAAAAGCACAGAAAAATGAAAAAAGAAAGGCCTACAATATTTAAAGATAATGAAATAAGTTAGAAAAAAAACAAAAAGAAAGGGTTACACATTTTAAAAAGGAGAAACTACTCAAGAGGAAAAAAATCATATTATTATTATTATTATTATTATTATTATTATTATTATTATTATTATTATTATTATTATTATTATTATTATTTTATTATTTAATAATAATAATAACCACTATTATTATTTTCATCAATATTGCAATTATTATCATTATTATTATTATTATTATTATTGCAATATTGTGATTATTATTATTATTATCTATCTTTCATGATTTTCATTGAAATTTACTATTTAGAATAATATCCATAAATATACTTATTAAATTAAGATGCTTTTAGCTATTGTTTGCATATTCAGAATGCGAATGCTTTCATACCCTTAGCGATAAATGAATTATTTATTTAAAGCGTTAAATAGTAAACTATTATTACATAACATTACATTATAATAAGTTTTATGTCGATACATTAATTTGACGCTTTTTTTGGCTAGTTTAACATTTCTTTTGTTATTTTCAAGAATTTTTAAATGCAATTTCCAAATGTATTTTGTAGTTAAAATATCACAAGCACTGATGTCATCGGCACTGACACACCTTGTTTGTAAACTAGAGTTCGTATATAGAATGCTGTTATATGAATGATGTTTCAAAAGACTACTTGTAGAGTTTTCTGAAATAAATGTGAAACCTTAACCTGAATTTTAGACCCATGGCTAACATTAATCAACCAAAATGAACAGGGGAGAGAGGTAGTTGATATTAAATTCTGAAATTATCGCTTGGTCAATACCAGCAATAAAAAAAATGTATTATCACGTCCACGTTCACTCTTGCAAGTTCGAATCCCGTGGGAGTAATGGTCCCATGTTATGACTTGTAGCCACGTAACCACGATGATGATGAAGAAGGCCTTTTGCAGTTTACTATTTAGAATACGGTAATATCCATAAACATACTGTATTAAATTAAGATGCTTTTGTAACTATTGTTTGCATATTCAGAATGCGAAGCTGGCAAATATGGCGCTGACTGTCTACAAGATTGTCATTGTAATGCTACTGAGTGTAATCGTTGGACCGGCTGTGATACTGGAGCAACATGTAACCCTGGTTACACAGGCAGAAGATGTATAGGTAACAAACATTCAAATTACAATCCCTATCAGTTTGCTTGTCAGCAGAGCTACTGATTATAATTATCTTTATACATCTAATTCGATTGCTAACCAACAAAAAAAAAATATTTGAGCTACAATAATTATACGATGTTTCTTTAATTGTTTTGTATCCAGAATGTGAAGCTGGCAAGTATGGCGCTGATTGTCTACAAGATTGTCATTGTAATGTTACTGAGTGCGATCCTTCCAGAGGATGTGATGTGAACGCAACATGCCACCCTGGTTACGTAGGCCAAAGATGCTTAGGTATCAAATCGGAATC